GAATAATAAGGCGCACTCCTGGGTTTAAATAGTGTTCAATTTACTGTGTCCATAAATTCAAAATTCAGAAGATCAACGTTTCGACCAATACAGGTCTTTATCAAGATCTTGATGAAGACCTGTATTGGTCGAAACGTTGATCTTCTGAACTTTGAATTTATGGACACAGTAAATTGAACACTATTTAAACCCAGGAGTGTGCCTTATTATTCGTTTATATACAATGGCTTTGCTGCACCCTGGTATGTATCTTTATTTTTATTTTTAATTTATGTGTATACTAGCTCAAGAACTTATCCTTAGTATATCCAATCCAATGACTTGGTGACACATAAATGTCATAGGCTAAGAGTAAAAGGATGTATAAAGTGTATGTGAAACATGTTTATATCTAATAAAGTGCATGCTGATAGTAGAAAGTGCAGAAACTTCTTAAAGTGATAGCGTGCATAAAATATACAGTGCATAATACAAAAAAAATGTCACTTATATACTATACATGTAACACAATCAAACAATATATACATAACAACTACACCTATTTCATTAGAGTAAGTATTTACATAAAATTTAAATCATAATAACTAGCTGCTAACCCTTATATAAAATAATGATATGTGAGCCCCCTGGGAGACACTGTGTTTAACTGATGTATCCAAAAAGCCTCCTTTTGAAGCAACATGTTTCCTCTATCTATACCCACAAACTTTAAAGATGTCAACGGGTGCTTTTTGTCTAGAAAATGTTGGGCAACTGGCTTATCTGATAGCCCATCCCTGTATGCTAATCTAATGCTCGAACGGTGGCCTCTGATTCTTTCGCATAACTGCGTCTCCGTCTTCCCCACGTAGTGGAGTCCACACGGGCAAACTAGTTTATATACAATAAACTGGGTTTTGCAGGTGATGGTGTGTCTTATCGTATATTTTATTGGTGTGTGGATGTTTAAATCTTTTTGCTGGAATCATATGTCCACAAGTCACACACCCCAAGCAACGCACGCTCCCCTGTATGTTGTATTTAGCCATCTCAGAATAGCTATCTACAGGATCTGTGTGCACCAACATGTCTCTAATACTCTTATTCTTCTTATAGCAAATTAGTGGGCTTTCCTTGAAGATCTTTGGTAACGTGTTGTCCGCGGAAATCATCTTCCAATTGTCTTTGACAATGGCGGATACCAGATTAGATGAATTATGGAATGTCATCGGGAAGGCAATTCTTTGTACAGGATCTGTCTTTGGGCGCACCGGAGCTAATCAAGCTTTCAACAGTGCATCATCCAATGCCTGAACTTCATATCCCCTCTCCAAAAACTTCTGAGTCATAATTTTTAGTTGTATCTCAGCCTTGTTTGCATCAGAGTTGTTACGGATCACCCTCTGGAATTGAGCCTTTGGAATCGACTTTTTCAAAGCGATGGGGTGTGCCCTGTTTCCGTGCAACAAGGTGTTGCGGTCCGTTGGCTTAGAAAATAAAGTATACTGGACACCATTAACACTATAGGAAAGTTCCAAATCCAGATATTGGACACTGTCCTCACTGATATTTGCTGTGAATTTTATAGGTGACGGGAGAAGATTTAACTCATTAACCATAGTATCTGCTTCCGTTCGTGAGCCTCGCCAGATTATTAAAAGATCATCTATATAACGGTAGTACCCGATGATCTGGTCTTGATAAGGGATCAATATATGAGTTGTTTCATATATATACATGTACGCATTAGCGTACATCGGGGCCATCGCCAACCCCATTGATGTCCCAGCCTCATGTAAATACCACTCATCTTCAATTCTAAAGTGAGGTTTTCTATTGATTGTGATGGTATATATGGTCATTTTGTGTACAGTACTTTGTCTTGTTGTCTTTTTTACCCTGAGGAAGGTCCCGAGTGGGGACCGAAACGTTGGTCGTTATTTTTAATACTACTTAATACATTTTTGTTTTAAAGTCCGGAGAGCAGCCTGCCTTGTTGGATTCTTTATCTATTGGAGCTCTGGTGATGCGCCCGGTATTGGAACATATTTCAAGCGTGAGTGCAGGGGATTATTGCAGATATTTATTTATATATATATCAGGTTGGGCCAAGATTCAGAGTAGGGTTTGAGAAGTCAATACTTTTTTTTTTTAATTAATGAACCAATTTCAATGATATGTACTCTACAAGCAATCCAGATAATTGATATATAATTTATCAGGTGCTCACTACAGATTTTGCACTCTACAGGGTCCTTAAGATGCAGTACATATTAAGAATAGTGTAGCACACATAAAATACACATTATTTATTACGTATGCAAAAAGAAATACAAACACACATAAAAAGTAAACAGAATATAAGGTACAACAATTATCTATATATTAAATTTAAAAGATACGCAACTGCTGTTTTTTGTATATATGTAAAGGCGGAGCCTGGAGTTATGGGAAGGTCTAGTGCTGATATAAATATTCCCCATCAGCACTAGACTCCTCCTAGGCATAGTTCCGTTCTGAGCGTGTGACGTCACTTACAGGTAAACAGTGAGTGAGGAGGTCCTGCTGTGGTAGAATGCCTATCTACCCGACAAAGCTATCTTTCGGCAGTACAGTGAGTGGAACAGCACCACGACGGTACTGTTTCAAGGACACTCCCCTGGTATTCCCGAAAAGAGTCACACTCTTTTCAGACCCCCACGAACGCAGGGTCATGGCGGGGAAGGAATCCCCTTTGATGCTTGCCGCATACCTGAGTTTCGGTTACCATACAAACCTTTTGTTAATTTCAACCCCTTCACCGACGTTACATTCAGGGACATCTCCCTATGCACGTTCCGTTCGACAACTCTAGCTGGACACCACTATTTTCCCCAGCAAGGCTGGGTTTTGTCATATACCAGATTAACAGTTACTGGAACGGATTGCCATCTTGTGGCTTGGTACAAAGTTTGGTATTAAATATTGCGTTAGTGTGTTTGTTAGGGGAAGGTTCTGACTGAGGGATTCTTTAGTCAGAATGATGGATGTAGAAGCATGTTTTCAACACTATAGCTCCTACAACTTCACTCATATCCCTGTTAACCCTGTATTACCTTTTCTGTTGCTTTAGGCTCTATAGGTTGAAGCTCATGAACTTTAGCCAATCAGAAGTCCAAGTGTATTTTCTGCTTATTGAAGGGGTACGTGGATAAATAACAATACGTTTCTTATCGCAAGCCGGCACGGCTCACTTTACAACACCTTAACAGCCGCTGATGTATATGAGGAGTTTGATATATATTCTGTCTCGCTAGGTTGGTGATGGCTACATACTCCCTTTTCCCTCTCTTCCAAGCATACATACTTCACGGTTACTGGATTCACGCCAAGATAAGTATATTATTTACAGATACACAGTCCTCTAGCAATACTTGGGGGCCACATCTACTTATATATTGTTAAAGTATAAGTATAAGCATCACAGTGGCTACACTGGTAGATTTATGGTAATAATTCGGGAACATTACGGTATTCACACAATTAGGTTGGGGGGATATTTTGAGCCAAACTAGTTCCTAGGCCTAGGGGAAAGCACATGATTTGTCTGGCTTACATATCAATAAGCTTGTACTGATATTGACAAAGACTTGGAATCACCTTAAGGGTAGGAGCCTAAGTCATATTGTATGTTGTCACTTCTCAAACGTTAATACAATGTCTTATAGAATGTCTTGTAACAGTATTTATAGACTATCATTGGCCCACTGACATTTCCCGAAATATCCAATACTACAATTCATAGGCCTTGTCCTGAAAATCCGAATTTCATATTGATTCTGTACGAAACCGGTTAGGCCTATTACTCCTTTGAGATACTGTGGTGTTTAAGGTTCATTTTCTCAGACATAATTCTCCCTTCCACGTACTTTAGGTGCACCACTAACCATTGAACCTCCAATTAATTGGCTTACAAATTCAAATTTCAAGTCTTACAGGTACGTTCCCCTGTGGCTTATATTCAAACCTCCCCGCTTTTATCAGTCCCTTAGGAAAGGAATTACTGGCTGTCAGGGAAATAGATTTCATATTTAGCTTTCTAAAGGCCTTCTACACCTTATACTAGTGGTCCCGTGAGACCAACACCCATTCTCATACTCCGAGGTATTCGGCCCTTGGTCCAACGCATAGCTAGCCGCATCGCAATGGCCATTGGAGTAACTAAATGACCTCCAATTGTTTAAATAATACCCTACTACCCCACATTTAAAAAAAGGTGTCCAGTAAAGACACTAGATGTCTATCTAAATAACTTGCAGGCACCAGCAAATCACCCTTTACTTACCTTACAAGGCACCATCCTCACTACAAGCAAATTCATGCTTTACGTTAGAAGTAGACTAGGCCTCAACCCCTCACACTACTCCGGACATTCCTTCAGGATTGGAGCGGCCTCAGCAGCCTCCTACAGGTACATCCTTACCCATATTATTAAATCATTAGGGCGCTGGAAATCGAGATACATTCCACAACCCGAGAAGGAAATTAGACAGGCATTCCAACATTTAGTATTGTGATATTATGTTGTAATAAGGTATTGTTGATTAAATAAATTATTTTGGCATACATCTTTTGCTCACTTTATTTACAAGTCTACCGATATGTCAGTTTCGGCACACCTCAACCAAATTTTAGATACCTCTACAAGTATGATAAGGTATCAATACACATATGGCTTTATTGTCCTAAGCACAAATGTAAAGAAGTAGTCTGGAGTTTTGGGAGGGGCTAGTGCTGATATAAATACTCCCTATCGGCACTAGACTCCTCCTAGGCATCGTTCCATTTTGAGTCCCTCCCATCACGCCACCTTTTAACCCCTTAAGGACACATGACATGTGTGACCTGTCATGATTGCCTTTTATTCCAGAAGTTTGGTCCTTAAAGGGTTAAATTTATTATTTTACTTTAATTACCTTCCTTGGTGGCCCACTTTATTTACAGGTCTACCGATACGTCGGTTTCGGCACACCTCAACCGAATTTTACATACCTCTACAAGTGTGATAAAGTATCAATACACATACGGCTTTATTTTCCTGAGCACAAATATGTATTATATATATATATATATTTTACTATCACTGTTTTGTTGTGCTTATCATTCAATATGTGGGTGTGTTGCAATCCATAGTTGGCATTTGTGTATCTTTTAATTTAATTTATAGATACATTGTGAAGAACTTCCCTATTGAACTTTTTTAGTTTTACCGAACCCAATATGTTTCCCCTTGGTTCGGTACTTCCAAACTACCAAACACCACCACTCCCCTGGCTCATTAACTTCAAAGAAACCACAAACTTAAGTGTTCTCTCTGAATGGCCGCCATTACGTGACCGAACACACGTGCTCTTGTAACGCAGGCAGCGGTACTTGGTCGACAAGTGCGTGGAACTCTATTTCGGATGCTGTGCCTTGCAATCCCTGGGAAAATCATACCGTGGCCTGCTCTGTTTCCAGACAAGACAGGAGAGTGCTTTTCGGGGAAAAGACACTCCGAACGAGGTGAACATTTGCTCCCTACGAGCCAAGGGGAGCCTTCGTTTATATTCGTATAGGAACTCCCAAAAGTTCACCGGCTGCTACTTCTTTAATTCCTCTGAAACAATTTTGGGCAGCAGCTACATGTGTGGTCGGTCAAAACCCTGGTGGTGATTCTGCTACACTACATGGATCTGAGCGCTATTTGGACAACTTGGGCGCTTAGATCCGGGCTATCCAGGGATATAATATGTGTGGTGGTTCCTATCAATATTATGTTCATTTTGGGGTGTTTTATGTGTATGTATTGTACCTCGAGAGCCTGGGAGATAATTAGTTAAAGGAAAAGCAAACTCACTTATCTCCTAAACCCAGAGACCTATCTATGTTTTTGCTGGAGACCCCATGCTGAGGGTCTGTGTATATAAGCTGGCAACTTGGCCATAATAAAACATTCCTTTTGCACCCTTCATGAAGTCTCATCTGATGCTTGGGTATGCGATATTGCCATGAACCTTGTGGGAATTTGGGAACCTTCAGATGAACGTACCACTCTGGGTACAGGCGGTTCGTCACATGCATTTTGTACCTTATATTCTATGCACACATTTTAATGTGTGTTGGTATTTGTATTTCTATTGGTATATATAATACCAATAGAATTACAAATGTAGTAATAGATTCATGTATTTTATACTGTGTTTTATAAGTGTGCTCTTCTATTCTTAATTTGAACTCTATAATCCTCCTGACCTGTCCTGTCTCGATTTCTTGCTGAGCATCTATTTTTTTCCATTTTAATTTCATTGGGTTTTTAGATATAGATTCAATTAGTCACTGTTATACAGCAGAAGCAAGAACATGCGGTATTATGATATAATACATAAAGGCATGGCTTACTACATACTACATTCTGGTTTTCCTTGGTCTTCAGCTGTGCAACTATTGTGGAGTTTAAAGGAACACTGCCCCATGACAACTTAAATTAATTTAACACACTATGGCTTTCTATGGGCACCCAATGATAGGCAGAGAGGAAGGAAACCAAGAGGCAGAGGTTCTGGGAGAGGAAGCCCCAACTTTGGGGTTAAACCATTACCAATGCCAAATGCTCTAACCCCTGAAGGTAAGATGGTGTCTGGACACTCTTGCCCCAATAACAACTTAAATGAGCCTAAGTTATTATGGGGATAGGAATATTCCTTTAAATAATTTTAGAATGTTTAGAATGGCTTAGTTTCCAATTAAGCAATGAAAAAATTGGCTTATTGGCCCCATTCCAGTGAACCTATCCTTTAAGCAAAATATTTAAGCAAATGCAAGTTTTATCTCTGTTTTACAAATATCCAAGTTTCTCTATTATAATTTTTCTAATATTGTTTTTTTATTTTTCAGGGCACTTTCCTGGCAAATTTCAACGTTTATGCTGGTGAACTATTAGAGCTTGCGGCGTGTGGAACAGCTACTCTTGTATTAAAGAATATTTAATAAAAAGCTTTTAACAACTTTTCCAGTTTTTTGCATGTTGTTATGCCATCATTGATAAGATTTAACAATGGGTGTGCGTCTCATGATCTAATTTGAGCATGTTGTAAATGGACCTTAGACGTATAACAAACTTTGCAGTGGTTGGACATACCATTAGTAGTATTTCAGAAGCAAAAACTCTCTTCCTGACTGTTACGGTACCTCCAGTAATAAAATGCCCAAACCGCCGTTTAGTGAATGCTCCCCGTTCGCAATAATGTGGTCTGGTAGCGTGTATAGTAAAACCATGTGAATCGCCAGCTAGGGAACACTCCAAACTCCCGAACGGCTCTTTCCCTTCACGAGCTCCAAATCCACGAACTGCCAAGATTAACCGAACGCCAATATCTTCCAAGCGGCAAATAATTCCAATAAGCAGTCTCTAGGCGCCGGTAATAAAATCCCCCCAATAACGAGACCAAGCTCTGCTTTGAGGGTAAAACACGAACTGATTTACTGTGGGCTACCTGCCCGGTATTTATGCAGGTCTCCCACTTGGTGGACACTCCCCTAGGGGACCAAATGGGAGACTGAAATGACAGAAGGACATGGGGACATTTTGGACATACATCCCCACAATATTCCCAGCATGCATCAGAGTTCCCTCCCCTCTGCTCGGGAGATAATTGGGAAGTAATTCAATTATCTCCCTGAGCAGAGGCAAATCGCCATTTTAAGTACAAGTCATAAAACACATAAAAATACATAACTTTATAACTGCCGAACATATTGCATTCGTGTAACACATCTCCAGATAGCCTGGATCTGAGTGCATATTATTGGCGAATAGCGCTCAGATCCCATTCGCATAGTTCAATCGCCATGGAGTCAAAGTCTATTACAGTTCTTCGGTATGCGATTGTCTCCATGGGACGGCTATCTGGGTTAAGTCCATTCGTGTTGTTGAATCTCCCGAACGGCCGGCATTCGTATGCTTTTGTCGATTGAGAAGGGGAGGTCGACGGCTTCAGCGGTGTTCGGTTGAAAAAGTGTCCGCTTTCAGTTCCATGAAATAACCGTCGAACACCGCTGGTCTTTCGCATGGTTAAAATGGCCGCCGCCTCGTGGTCAACATACGAACGACGACCACCCGGTACTCAGTTTTAATTGAGAAGTGTCTGTGGTTAACCGCAACGTTCTAATTGGGATCAATAGGTTAACCAGCAGCACACTTCTCTTCTGGGTGGCCGTCCGTTCGGTAGTTTCGTTCGACAAAAACCGACGTTCCCTTAAACAATGGGGGAATTCACGCAAAACGGCAAAACAGACGAACACAGTACTTTTAGTCCATACAGATGGGTCTGTCACACGACTCCCCCCTTGTGGAACACTCCGGCAGACCCGGCTTGACCCTTTGGCGGGTCAACTTGGGGATGACCTGACTGGGAAGGAGTAGGGACGTCTGTTTGCCGGGACAACCCATCCGCATTCCCATTCTGCTTACCGGGTCGGTAGCTGATGGTGAAGTTGTAAGGCTGCAGTGCCAAACTCCTCCTCAGCAGTCTGCCATTGTCTCCTGAGACCCGGTTAAGCCAGACAAGGGGATTGTGGTCCGTTATAAAGGAAAACTCCTGCCCGTACAAATAAGGGCTCAATTTCTTCAGTGCCCAGACCAGGGCTAAACACTCTTTCTCCACTGCCGCATAACTCACTTCCCGTGGTAGTAACTTTCTGCTTAAGTATGCGACAGCGTGCTCTCCTCCATCTTCCCCGACCTGGCTCAGCACAGCCCCCAGTCCATACATGGAAGCATCTGTATGAACGAGAAAACGTTTGTTAGGGACTGGGGCAGCCAGGACAGGGGCATTCACAAGAGCCTGCTTAAGTGCTTGAAACGCGGCTTCACAAGCTGGAGACCACAGGACCTGCTTAGGCAAATTCTTCTTAGTCAGGTCAGTCAAGGGCTTGGCAACCGTACTGTAGTCGGGGACAAAACGTCGGTAATACCCTGCCGTCCCCAGGAAGGCCAGCACTTGGGTCTTGGTGATAGGTGTGGGCCAGTTAGCTACAGCCTCTACCTTGGCTGGTTCCGGTCTCTTGCTGCCACATCCTACCCTGTGACCCAAGTACTGTACTTCTGCCATGCCTAGATGGCATTTGTCTGGCTTCAAGGTCAGGCCTGCGGCCTGAATCTTGTCCAGCACCATCCCCACG